ATTGAGTGGGCTCAAGAATTCAATTATAGGAACTCAGATTTAATTATTCTTGGAGCTTCAGCTGAATATATAATATTTTCAGATCAGGTGCGCCTCCGAACGCTGATGATTTCGGCAGATTCCTGGAAGCCGAGGCAGATTAGTTTTATGAAACTAGTCTTGTGCGCTCGATAAAAGCATGTTTTGTGCTTTGCAGGACGCCGGACAGCATAGTGCAGATGCATAATAACACATTTGACTTCTACAGCTTGATCTGTTGTGAAGCTTTGTCGTTTATCCTGCTCAGGTTAATGACCTCCTGATGGAGGACCAGGTCGTGCTCTCAAGCGTGATGCATGCATTTTTATTTTGCATATAATGATGCTAAGCTTCTAGCAGGTTTGGATCGACACCGGCGAGGAACTCAGATTTATTTATTCTTGGAGCTTCAGCTGAATATGGAATATTTTCAGATCAGGTGCGCCTCCGAACGATAATGATTTCGGCAGATTCATGGAAGCCGAGGCAGATTACTTTTAAGAATCTAGTCGTGGGCGCTCGATAAAAGCATGTTTTGTGCTTTTGTTTCTTTCTTGCAATTTAGGTTCTTGAATTCTGGCTCGACGACCAGGCCGGACATGTTTTTATTGACATTTCTACTGTAAGCTAAGTGAACTTCATGTTATCGTATTGTTGCAGGCGTGCAGATATTTTAGTTGCAAACGGACTTCGACAAAGACCTTAAGAAATAGCATTGTTAGCATCTCCTGCTTCGAGCATTATGTGTTACGGAGTCAAGAGGTTTTTCTTCTTTTTATTTGGAAACCTTCCACGTTAAGCGTACATCAGGTGCTGGGCGACAACGGTCAGATTCTTAGACTCGCGTCTACTTTGCGTGTGTAATTGCATGTAGTATTGTTTCGAAGAGGCTTTTTGATCGCCGGCGACCAGAACCCTCCTCCTGCCGAAGAACAGGCGTCAGGATATAGACCGTGCTTAAGACTTTGTTCTTCTATGTCTTGTAAATCATGTTATTCTTACGGCAATGATTGTTAAAATGACAATAAAAATGGCAATTGTTTAAGATATATGACAACTTTAAGTAGTTAAATTAAAGTGTTGTCTAAATGTAAACACACAGGTGTACATGTGCAAACTATGTGACAGTGACATTGTCGTGTTTTTTATTTACTTATTGCGGATGCATTCTCTTAATCTCATGGATCTTGCATACTCTTGCTTGGCAGGTGGAGCAGGAAATCGTCCGGACCTGACTTTTGCTTGATCGATATTATGTTTTAAGCTGTTGAAGTTTTTTTTAGGCTGTCGGCGTTCCATTTCTATGGCTTGGCCAGAAGCTTAAACTCATACCTAAAGATTCTAGGCTGCTTCTGGTCAACACTCAGGCGTCTGGCTTGTTAAGTTGAAGTTTATTTTCTTCGAATCGCCTTGTCAGGTCGTGCTGCTAACCGCCGGCACTGAGGAATTCTGCGTTTTTGGTTCTTATGCTGTGGCCCCACCAGCCCCACCGGGCTTCATTGCCCGGTGGCATCGTACGCGCAATCAGCACAGAAGACGCTGGGTCCTCGACATTGCGTGATGTAAAGCTTAACTTGTTGCTTTGTATATGTTCTACGGAGACAGTGATCTATTCACATATTTTCTTCTGATGCTTTGTATACAGTGGACCCAGCGCAAGTGATAAGCGCCTCTGCGACATCGCGCCTTCGTTTGCTTCAAACAACAAAGATTAACATCTTCATGTTGCCGTTGAGATATTTTTTTAGTAAATTAGATATATTTCTGCAAACATGATCTACGGAGACCCAAAACACCAAGCTTGCAGAAGCTTCAGCTTGTGCAGGCTCCTAGGTGTGGGATTCTGGTTTAGAGTTTTTATAAGGCAATGAATGTTTATTTTGCAAACATGATCTACATAGACCCGAAACACCAAGCCTCCAGAAGCTTCAGCCTGTGCAGGCTCCTAGGTGTGGGGTTCTGGTTTAGGGTTTTTCTGAGCCGATGAATGTTTATTTTGTTTTGTGTGACTAAATATCAAATCGTACTCAATGCACCACTTTATTTTTTTCAATCAAAATACTGTCTTCTCTTCGTCGTTTCTATCACTGGACCACCATACTAAATAATTGTACACGCCTCTCTAAGCTGAACCTGTAGCGAAGCTAAGAAGATTGCAAAACGAGAAAGGATGAAGCAGAAGATACTGTTACCTGCACGTACCCCTCTCCAGGCTAGTGGCAGTTGAAATCTATACTTTTTTCTAACTGCTTATGTTGAAAAATATGTTTTTTATTGTTTTTTCTTCACTCCAGATCACAATCATTCTTAATAGTTTCATCTGCGGCTGGGCACGTGAGCGTTATGATAACAATTTGAGCCTCACCCATGTACAGTAGACTCTCGGAAGCCTGAATTCTAGTATATGAAGCCATGTGTTTATAGCAATCCTACGTAAGCGCAGCCGAAAGGTGTGTGCTTTCCGAAACCTACTGCTTGGGGACCGCTAAATCCGAAACCCGCGATATCATAGTCGTGGCACGTGAGCGTTCTAATAACAATTTGAGCCTCACCCAAGTACAGTGGACTCTCGGAAGCATGAATTCTGGGACATGAGCCATGTGTTGACAGCAATCGTATGCAACAGCAGCCGAAAGGTGTGTGCTGTCCGAATTCAGATGCTTCGGATGTCTAAATCATAAACCCGCGACTACACATTCGTGGCACGTGAGCGTGGTAATAAGAATTTGGGCCTCACCGAGGTACAGTAGAATCTCTGAAGCCTGAACTCTGGGACAGGAAGCCATGTGTTGATAGCAATCCTATGCAAGCGCAGCCGAAATGCGGGCTGTCCGAAACCAGATGCTGCAGATTCTTAAATCCAAAACTCGCGACCACACATTCTTGGCGCGTGATTATGGTAAGAACAATTTGAGTCTGACCGAGGTACAGTAGAATCTCTAAAGCTTGAATTGTGGAATATGATGTGCAAGCGCAGCCGAAAGGTGTGTGCTGTCCGAATTCAAATGCTTCGGATCTCTGACTACAAAACCAGCGACTTCACATTCGTGGCACGTGAGCGTGGAAATAACAATTTAGGCCTGACCAATGTACAGTAGAATCTCTGAAGCTTGAATTCTAGAACTGAAGCCATGTTGATAGCAATCCTACGCAAGCGCAGCCGAAAGACTTGTGCTGTCCGAAACCAGATGCTGCAGATCCGTAAATCCGAAACCCGCGACCTCGCATTCGTAGCACGTGAGCGTGGTCATCACAATTTGGGCCTCACCAAGACAAAACTCTCTGAAACTTGAATTCGGAGACATGAAGCCATGTGTTGATAGGAATCTTACGCAAACGCAGATAATTTGCAGAAAATGAAATTAGAAAGTGAGTGAGTCGTTCTCCATTCAAATTCATCCGCTCATGAGATGCCAAGGTGTGAAACAAGAGGGTTCAGGTTTTAGGGCTTGGGGTTTAGGGTTTGGGGTTTAGGTTTACGGTTTAGGGTTTTGGTTGATTGGTTGCTTGGTTGGTTGGTTCAGAGATACCGGTGTGTCGTCTCTGAAGAGGGTTCAGGGTTTGGGGAAACCTTATAATTCTACCCTGAACTCTTTTGCAGCTTAAAAGAGCGCCCGTGTCGTTTTCCTAGGTGACTCATCGGTTCTAGGCCCAGGCAAGCTGGCGTTTAAGCCGAGCGGTTTGAGCAGCATGAGAAGCGCGGCCTGGTTGCTTCTTCAGTGCTTGTGAGAATGCCGCCGTCTGACTCAGGGTTTAGGGGCTTGGAGTTCAGGTTTTAGAGTTTAGCTAAACCTTAAACCATAAACCGTAAACCTTAAACCCTAAACCCTCCACCCTCAATTCAAAACCCTAAACTCGAAACCATGCACCTTAAATCCTAAACTCTAAACTCTAAACCTCAAACCCTATAATTTCATTTAAGTACTTGAAACTCAAAAGGGTGCCCGTGTCGTTTTCCTAGGTGATTCCTGAGTTCTAGGAAAGCTGGCGCTTAAGCCAAGCGGTTTGAACAGCATGAGAAGCGCGGCCTGGCTTCTTGTTCAATGCTTCTGAGCACGCCGCCGTCTAGCTCAGGGTTTAGGGGCCTGGAGTTCAGGGTCTAGGGTTTAGCTAAACCCTAAACTCTAAACCCTAAATCTTAAACCCCAAACCCTAAACTGTAAACCCTAAACCTTGAACCATAAACCCTAAACCCTAAACCCTCAACCCTAAACCCTAAACCTAAACCTGGGTCTCTCAAAATCAAAGCCTTTACTCAAAACCAACGGCAGCCTCTTCATAATCTTGAGGTTTTGTTTCGAGCACACGGCAATGGTGAGGTCATCAGCCAGATATGGTGTAGGGTTTAAAGTTAGACAAGAGGATAAGTATTTTATGAATGAACACCTGAATGATAAGGAGAAAACACGATTAACTTTAGGACACATAAAAAGATTGGAGCCTGGGCTAGGCCAGTGGCACAGGAGGGGTGGATTTCTGCGAGGTACCCACTCGGGGCCTCAAGCTTTTTTTTGTGTGAAAAAGATAAAGGGTTGGGCGCGCGAGGTTCCTAAACCCATTCGGTTTCCCCATCTCTCCTTAACCCCTAGGAGGGTGCCTTAACTCCTTCTGAAGTTTCATTCTGTTCTATGTCCTCTCTGAAGCTCACGAGCCCACTGCCCAGAACCTTCCCAGCGGCCCTGAATCCCTACGCCCCGTAAGACCCTGAGTCTTTCAGTTTCAGGTTCATTACAGCCCCAATATCAGAGAACCATTCTATTCACTCATGACATTAATATTAAGTTAGATGTATATATATATTTTTTTTAATAGTTCTGTAAAAACTAAGCCAAAAGAACCCGAAAGGTCTCAGGCTCATATATATATATATGTATATTTCTATATATAGATATAAATGGGCATTCAGCCCCTTCTCTTCCCCTTATCGACTCAGGGGCCATCGGCGTCAAAGCGGCGCTTTTCCCGGCCCGGCTGCGCGAGCGATGAGCTCCGGCGAGTTTGCTACGAGCTGCGGGGGGGGGTTGCCCTAAACTGGGGTCCAGGGGCTCCTGGGGTTTAGGGCTTAGGGCTTAGGGTTTAGGGTTTAGGGTTTAGGGGGCTAGGCTATCACAATAGAGGGCAGTTCAGGTCAGCCCCCATCTGCAGACTTGGCATTTGCGTCGCAAAATGCTGCAAGGGTCCGGCCCGTTCAGGGGGCGGCGGTCGCTAGCACCACAATTTTGTAATTATAGGCTCTCAACCCTAAACCCTCAACCCTAAACCCGAAACCCGAAACCCTAAACCCAAACCCCTCAAGTCAAGGCGGAAGCATGCCCTGAGGTCCTCAGGCCCCCATGTCTGGGATGACCTGAACACCCCAAACTTCCCCAAACCTCAAACTTCCCCCCACCCCTAGACTCTAGGGCCTAGAGTTTAGGGTTTAGGGTTGAGCATTTAGGATTTAGGGTTTGGGGCACCTGAATCCCCGAACTTCAAATGGAGAGGATCCCGATGAGCACGCCACCTTGGTCAAGAAGGTCAAGCAGGTGCCATTGGTCAGACATGGGGTGCTTGGGGTTTAGGGTTTGGGGTTTAGGGTTTGGGGGTTTGGGGTCAGGGGTAAAACCCTAAACCCTAAACCCTAAACCCTAAACCCTAAACCCTAAACCCTAAACCCTGAACCCTGAACCCTGAACCCTGAACCCTGAACCCTGAACCCTGAACCCTGAACCCTGAACCCTGAACCCTGAACCCTGAACCCTAAACCCTCCTAAACCCTCCTAAACCCTCCGAAACCCTAGGCCATGAGAGGCTCCTTCCCGTCCGAGGTGCAGCGTGAAAGTGAGGAAGGCCGGCAGTCGCCATCTCAGCTGTCCAGGATCCAGGCAAAGATCCAAAAGCCCGAGCGCCCGAAGCAGTTTCGGCGCTCACAAGCCAGCTCTATAGGCTGCTCTTAATGCCTGAACCCGCAGAAGGAAGAGTTTGAAGAGTTCAAAAAATGTTCATAGATGGACCCCTTTGAGGGGGAGCAGACTACATGACTACATCCACCTGGCGCCACAGGCAGTGGTGGGGCTTCTGTGAGCCTGGGACTCGACGTCTCGCAGGGCATGTGGGTCTTAGGTCTTGGTGAGGCTCTATCTCAGGCAATTTCAACGCGCACCGGTCCCCCCTCGCGAACCCGGGTTAGCCCCGAAAATCAGAGCCAAATCCGGCCGGGTTTCGGGTTTAGGGAATGACCTGGAGGGTTGCTGGATTTTCGGGCTCTTGGGCTTTGAGTTGGGTAGTTGAGTGTTTGCCTTTTGGTGCTTCCGGGGGTTTTAAGCCCAGCTTGAACCCTGGGGACCCTGCTGATATTAAACATGAGTCTCTCTTTCGGGCTTCAAATTCTTGTGATGCGGACCATTCTATTTAGGGTGCCCAGGAAGGAGCAACCATGCAGGGAGCTGCCCACGTCTTGCTTCTCTCCTGGGTTTTGGTTTCGTGCCTGTCAGCTCGCATGGCCATCTCACACGTTGGCCCCTCAAACCCTAAGCCCAAAACCCTCAAGCCCTCCACCCGAGAACCTCCGAACCCCCAAAGCTCCATACCAGTTTCTTCGGACCAGGGCAGAGGGCAAGAACAACCGGCGAGACCCCCAGAGGCAGAGTCAGGGTTTTTAGGGAGGGGTTCCAGGAGGGTTCTTTACGGTTCCAGGGGGTCTTAGGGTTCAGGGACGCCGCGCAGTAGCAGTAGTTCTATATGGATCATTTGATTCTCCAAAAAGCTTCGCCATTGATGGGCCTTCGCAGCTATTTCGAGCAACGGAATGGCTGCCGGGTAGTTCTGCGTCCACACACCCGCGCAAAGCAAAGGGTGGACGCGAGAACCTCGCGTCTAGCGCCTAGCCTTAAAGGCCAAAAGCCCCGAAAAGCCCAAAAGTCCTGGAGAAAATCCATAGAGGCTGAAAACCTCAACCCCTCAAACCCCTCAAACCCCTCAAACCCCTCAAACCCCTCAAACCCCGCAAACCCCTCAAACCCCTCAAACCCCTCAAACCCCTCAAACCCCTCAAACCCTCTGCAGGCACACGCTCCATTCCCTGCGCCGGTTCTTCCAGCTGCGGGAGCAGGGGACGCTGCCCAAGTTGAGGCGGCCCGGGGGTTTGGAGCGTTGGTTTAGGGCTTAGGGTTTAGGGTTTAGGGTTAAGGGTTTAGGGTTTAGAGGTTAAAGACTTTCAGAGCCCGCAAGGGCTAAGGGCTTCGGGCTTCGGTTTGGTTTAGGGTTTAGGGGTTAGGGCTTTTTCTTTGTCCCCAAAGCTTATGTCGTGCTTGTGGATGCAACCCACTAGACCCTGCAGCCTGGCAACCTCCACCCTTCACCCCTGCGCAAACCCTAAACCCCTGAACCCCTGAACCCCTGAACCCCTAAACCCTAAACCCTAAACCCTAAACCTTAAACCCTAAACCCTAAACCCTAAACCCTAAACCCTAAACCCTAAACCCTAAACCCTAAACCCTAAACCCTAAACCCTAAACCCTAAACCCTAAACCCTAAACCAAAACCCTATCCTTTCCCAGCCCTAAGCCCTAGACCCCTCATCCTGAGAACTAGGCGGCGGCCATGATAAGGAGACTCGGGCCTGTCCGCCCTGAACCAGACCTATTTTGGTTTAGGGTTTGGGGTTTAGGGTTTGGGGTTTAGGGTTTAGGGTTTGGGGCTTGGGTTTGGGGCTTGGGGTATTTGCTGTCTGGGGTAGCCTTGTTTTGGAAGATTGCCCATCCAGGGCTCAGAACGGGGTATGGGCCCTTAGACACCCGAAATCCCCCTAAACCCTAAACCCTAAACCCTAAACCCTAAACCCTAAACCCTAAACCCTAAACCCTAAACCCTAAACCCTAAACCCTAAACCCTAAACCCTAAACCCTAAACCCTAAACCCTAAACCCTAAACCCTAAACCCTAAACCCTAAACCCTAAACCCTAAACCCTAAACCCTAAACCCTAAACCCTAAACCCTAAACCCTAAACCCTAAACCCTAAACCCTAAACCCTAAACCCCAAACCCTAAACCCTAAACCCTAAACCCCAAACCCTAAACCCTAAACCCTACACCCCCAACCCTCAACCCTCAACGCTCAAAACCCTAAACCCAAAACTCTATAGGGTTTAGCAGCGCAGGCCTGGATATGGCCAGTCCGGTCCTCGGACCTTGACATTGAGCATATGGGGATTTCAAGTTTACCGTGGCTATTGTTGTAACCTGCTATGAGGGTTTACGCCGCAAGCCTTGCTGATAATCTTAGTATTAAACACAAGAACTAATTCGTTTTCTTTCAGTGGATGCCGGGTTGAGCGATCGGGGCCTTCATTCCTTGGAGCGTCTCGGGCTGAAGGTTAAAGGATGCGGGTTGCCCTGGGCAAAAGCAGCTTATAGCTACAGACCGAAAGCCTTGACGCCATTCTAGCACTGAGACAGAGGCCCTCCGAAGCCCTAGACGTTCAACACTGAAAAAAACCCTGTACCAAGAAGTGCCAAACATGCGGCTGGTTGGTTGACTTTGTGCCTTAGGGATTCCAAGGCTTTCGGGATTAGGGTTTAGGGTTTTGGGCTTATGTCTTAGGGGGGCGCGCTACAACCTAACTCCCTCAATCCCTGACCCCTGAACGCGTTGAAACAGGCCAGACCCGGAGACCCACCAGTACTGGGACCGGCACCCAGCCGTTGTGGGAGGCAGAGGCTTGCAAAGTCTAGGGGTTTGGCGGTTTTGGTGTTTATGATTTTGGGGTGTCGGCGCATCCCTCCCTGGGAATGGAGGAAAATCAGGCACCCAATACAGGAGGACCTAGGGGCATATATGGTTCCGTCCCGTGTCGGTACCCCCCCCCCCACCCCGCCCCCCCCCAGCCCCCCCCCCAGCCGCCTCCCCCTCCCCCCCAGCCCCTAACCCTAAACCCTAAACCCTAACCCTAAACCCTAAACCCGAAACCCTAAACCCTAAACCACTAATAAACCCTAACCCTAAACCCTAAAACCCTAAACCTAAACCCTAAACCCTAACCCTAAACCCCTAAACCCTAAAACCCTAAACCCAACCCTAAACCCTAAACCCTAAACCCATAAACACTAAACCCTAAACCCTAAACCCCTAAAACCCTAAACCCTAAACCCTAAACCCGAAAACCCTAACCCCTAACCCCAAACCCCAAACCCAACAAAAAACAACCAACACCCCGAAACCCCAAACCCTAAACCTAACCCTAACCCAAACCCTAAAGAAAACCACTAAACCCTAACACCTAACCCTAAACCGCTAAACCTCTACCCTAACCACTAAACCCTAAACCCTAAACCCTAAACCCTAAACCCTAAACCCTAAACCCTAAACCCTAAACCCTAAACCCTAAACCCTAAACCCTAAACCCTAAACCCTAAACCCTAAACCCTAAACCCTAAACCCTAAACCCTAAACCCTAAACCCTAAACCCTAAACCCTAAACCCTAAACCCTAAACCCTAAACCCTAAACCCTAAACCCTAAACCCTAAACCCTAAACCCTAAACCCTAAACCCTAAACCCTAAACCCTAAACCCTCAACCCAAACCCCAACCACAGCACCCCACAGGGGGGCCCAAACCACAGGGGGACGGGGCGGGGACCCTAAACCCTAAACCCTAAACCCCAAACCCTAAACCCTAAACCCTAAACCCTAAAACCCTAAACCCTCAACCCTTAACCCTCAACCCTTAACCCTAAACCCTAAACAAACCCAAACCCCAACCACACCACCCCACAGGGGGGCCCAAACCACAGGGGGGCGGGGCGGGGAAAGAGTTTGGGGGGGGGGGGGGGGCCACGGCAAGGGTACCATGGGGTGGGGGGGGGGGGGTGGGGGCGGCAGCGACGCTGCACCATATATGATAGGGCTTTGGGGGGGTTTGGGGTTTAGGGTTTGGGTTTTTAGGGTTTCGGGTTTAGGATTTAAGGTTGAGGGGGGCCTTGGGGGCCCCTTGGCATCTTTCCCCAGGCTCAGAAGCTCAAGGATGCGATGCGAGCGCACCCAGGGCGTGCTTATCAGTGTGGTGGAGTACAACCCGAAACCCGAAACCCTAAACCCTAAACCCTAAACCCTAAACCCTGAACCCTAAACCCTAAGCCCCAAACCCTGAACCCTGAACCCTTAACCCCTAAACTTCTCAACCCTGAAACCGCCCCGAAGCCAGACATCCTACAACCCGCGGCCTTGACCCAAAACCCTAAGCCCGACACCCTAAACCCTAAGCCCTGAAACCCGAAACCCTAAATCCAAAACGTCGAGTTCTCTTGCAGGTTTTGTGCCAGACCTAGGGCCAGTGGCGGTGTTGTTTCCCTCCTGCGCCTTTTGATCGCTTTTGCCGAGGAGCGCTCTTTTTTAGGCAAAGAGAGGTTTGGGGTTTAGGTTAAGGATCCCCTAGAATCAGGGTTGGAGGATCTTATTGGGGGATACTCGGGTACCCTTCGCGTGGGAGATGCCCACATTAAGCATTACCGGAGCAATACTTCATCATTCATAGTTCAGACGCAGCCTGTCATTACTTGTTAAGATACTGGTCAAAAGTCAGTACTTCAGAATTCATGCTTCAAAAACTTGCTGGTTCTTTGTAGGGAATGAGGGAATGAGGTACCCTTATAATCCCTTAAACGGGGTATATATATATATATATATATATATATATATATATAGGCCCTACTCCCTCCTTCCCTACTGAGAACCAGCCGGAAAATCAATAGCTGAAGCCCTCAGCCCAAGTCAACAGCAGAAGCCGGAAGCCGACTGCCAGGTCGGCAGATTTGAAGCAGCGGTGGTGGGACTACTGCGACGCTTGGCATGTCCTTCAGAACTGTTCCCGAAAGGCAACAGAGAGAGAGAGAGAGAGAGAGACAGAGACAGAGACAGAGACAGAGACAGAGACAGAGACAGAGACAGAGACAGAGACAGAGACAGAGACAGAGACAGAGACAGAGACAGAGACACAGACAGAGACAGAGACAGAGACAGAGACAGAGACAGAGACAGAGACAGAGACCGTGAACTGGCCGCCGTGGTGCAGGATCTTTCAGCTTGAACCATTGCATGCGGGCTTGCGTGGCATGAGGGAGTGCGGCCCTTTGGGCGTGTCCGGCGCACATGTTTCTATGAAGTGTTGATCAGTAGCTGTTCCCCTTCTAGTGCGGGAGGCACACGTTGAGCATCTGATTGCTAGGACCCAGAGTGGGCTTTGCAGCCCTGGTTAAGCCAAAAAGGGTGCTACCTTTGTTCCAGCTTGCTCCGGGACCTCTGGGACCTAGTTTACACGAGGTGCGTGGTGTGTTGAGAGAAAGGCCACCCTCGGGAACCGTGTGCTGTCAAATGAGGTTATAATCAGGGACCCCATATATGAATTCCCTCCATGTAATAAGAACCCCAAAAAGGTACCCCTAAAATAGTCGGATCCCCTTGTAATAAGATCCCCGACTAGGTACCCCCAATAGGGGTGCACCGATCCTGGCAGCGACGCCTTAAAATGAAGCATTGGCCATACATTGGGATTTTCCCTCTTATACTATCAGTCCTTAGTAGGGATTAGAATAGGGGGGGAGGACTAGAATCCCTAGCAAGGACTGTTTAGAAAACGGGGCAGCATCCCAAGTGCAAACTTTGCCGCAGGGTTCTCTGCATGCCCGGTGACAGTGACTATTCTGTGGGACTGGACTTGAGAATTCCCCAAGTAAGGGCCCCAGCCGGCCCTCGCGCCTACCCTGTGCCCAGGCCCCTGCGCTTTTTATACCGTAAATCTGTGTACCGACAGACGCCCGCTTGAAAGTCTTCAGTAAGCTGTTTGGCGGACATCTTGCAGTTGTTCTTCAACTCTTTGGCCCACTTGACCCGTGATCCCTTGCAAAGAAGGACAAGCAGCCAGGGGGCATGCGCGATCCGCCCGGGGCCCTGGACCATGGATGCAACCTAAACCCAATTCTGAAATCTAGGGGCGCTCTGAACCTCAAGAACATGGGATGCTCCTCAAGAGACGCCCAAGTGCCGAGTTTGAATCTTGAAGTTCGGACTACGAGGGCTTACCGGTTTGGGGTGCATGATAGCTCTCCCTTACACCTGAACTCCTATGTATTGTACACCACCAACCCAACCTTTGGCCCAAGCACTTTTTTGAGTGCAGTCCTCTTGGAAATCTCCCAAACACCATCAACGAAGCCATGGCTCCAGCGCTGGCGCTGGTGGCCCTTCTCAGCATCTCAGGCTGGGCTCCACACATGTGGAGGGCTTTTGGAGTGTAGGTGAGTGTAGGTGAGTGTAGGTGAGTGTAGGTGAGTGTAGGTGAGTGTAGGTGAGTGTAGGTGAGTGTAGCTGAGTGTAGCTGAGTGTAACTGAGTGTAGCTGAGTGTAGCTGAGTGTAGCTGCGTGTAGCTGAGTGTAGATGAGTGTAGATGAGCCCTAAGCCGGTTCGGTGTTGCCTTGCTTCCGCTTTAAGGGGCTCAGATGGTACCACATGAACCAGGGCAGCTTACCATTCCAGGTCAAACTCTTCGGTCATCCCAAAATGCCAAAAACCCCGAAGATTTGACCAAGATTCGTTAGTTCAGTCTGAAGCATAGAACATGATTGTGGCCGTCTTCCAAGACCTCAGCGAGCGCACGGTACCACGTCAGCTAACATCGATCGGCACATGTCCGGGAAGTCCGGAACATGTGCATACGTCCGGAACATGTGCATACGTTGGGATGTTCCCCCTTCTACTAACAGTCCTTGATTGGGATTCTAGGCCCTCTATGATAATCCCTATTAAGGACTGTTAGTAGAAGGGGGAACATCGCAATGTATGCAGGTCACTCATGACGTGCCTGGTTTTTGGAGTGGAGTTGGCCTTCTTGGTTCTTCACGCTGGCACTCCCCAGCCCCGCAACCCTGACCCTAAACCCTAAACCCTAAACCCTACAGCCTGAACCCTAAACCCTAAACCCTAAACCCTAAACCCTAAACCCTAAACCCTAAACCCTAAACCCTAAACCCTAAACCCTAAACCCTAAAGGCTTCGCGCGTAGGGTCCGCGAGGCCTCGCTGGCAGCCACAAGCTTATCAAGCCAAGCGATGTGGAGGCGCGGGCTCGCAGGCTTCTAGTTGGAGGTTTGTAACCCTAGTAGGGTTTAGGGTTTAGGGTTTAGGGTTTAGGGTTTAGGGTTTAGGGTTTAGGGTTTAGGATTCAGCATCTCAAGTTCGAGCATTTACTAGGCCAGCAGTGTGTGTAGGCAACGGAAAAAAGCCCACCCGCCCAAAGAATCCCATAACATTAAGAAAATAGAAAGTTTTTCTCAATTTCTGTTCAGACGCACCAAGAGGCCAAACAATCACACGGGTCAGACGGGTCAAAACGCCAAATTCGTGCTGAACAATGGGGGGCCAAATGGGTCAGACGGGTCAAAACGCCAAATTCATGCTGAACAATGGGGGGCCAAATGCGTCAGACGGGTCAAAACGCCAAATTCGTTCTGAACAATGGGGGTCTAAACGCCAAATTCGTGTTTAACATTTAGGGTTATAACTGTACTTTTTACTCAATTGTAACCCCTATTAGGGTACTTGTAAGTGGGTTATAACTACCAAGTGCCCTCAACCTCCTAGTAGAGGCTTTTCGGGGGGTTGGCGGCCTCTGGGTGGTTGGGTTGGAGGGTTTTCCGGTTTGGACGACCTTTGTGTAGAGCCTTGGGGTGACCCAAAGAAGGCCTACGCCTAGGACCGTAAACCCTAACCCTAAACCCTTACCCCTAAACCCTATAAACCCTGTAAACCCTGTAAACCCTCGCTGCAGGCGCCAGCTCTGCGGACGGATGCCCCGCGACAGTCCTTTCGCAACCAGCAGGCGTGGCAGTGTCAGTGTGGCACCCAAGCATGGCCAGCAAAGACTCAGGGTTTTAGGGGCAGTCCTTAGTAGGGCTTAGAGTACCCTCTATTTTTTTCCTTTTAAGGACTGATGGCATCAGGGGAACATCCCAAGAGGCTTTGAGAGGTGTAGCATTTCAGGCTAGGGTTGAGGCCTTGTGGTTCTTTGGGGGTGTGTGATCTGGCGTTCTAGGGTTTAGGGCTTTAGGGCCTTCATGAGGGCTTTCGGGGATCAGGGGTCTCAAGGGGTTTCAGGGTCCCAGAGGGCTGGGGCCTTCAGACCGTCTCGAGAAGGTGGCAGTTTTGGAGCACTCGATCATGTCCCTCCTGGACACCAACGCGACCCCGGCCTTGAAGACGCTCACGGAGCAGGCCGGGGGGCCAGGGTTTCAGAAGGTCCATAAGCATTATAGGGGTTTCCGATAGTAGGGGGTACCCTTTTTTTGGGGGTCGCTGCAAGGGGACTCTATTCTGTTTTGGGGTAGGACAGGGGCACCCCCTGTTTTGGGAAATGCCCATATGTAGGCCTGATGAGCCTGAGTTCGAGTGGAGGTACTATGTTCCTTATTGTAGGAACCCAAAGAGGGTACCCCCCCCCCCCCCCCCTACTTTCGGAAACCCCACATCTCCTGGAGCACCAACGCCCAGCAAGAAATCTGGCGATTGGGCATAAAAATGTTCTGACCCAAGCCTTCGCCAAAAGGGTCCAGCCACTTCCTCGAAAATGTCAGCCCCCAAAGCCGAGACTGGACCCAACTCAACAGCCAACCCTACTTGGAGGTTCAGGGTACTTAGTAACCCATACTTATAGCCCAATTTTAACCCTATCAGGGTACATAAGGGGCTTATGCGTGGGAGATAACTGCACTACAAATTGGTTGCTAAGTACCCTGAACCCCCAAGTAGACTCTAAAGATAGCAGCGCGGGCCTTGCCTAGATCATCAATATGACGGCGACCATGAAGAAGGAGATCTCGAACCAGGCGAGGACCAAAAAAGGATGCCCAGACAGTTCAGAGTCGATGGTTTTTCAAAGTTCCGGTTCAGGGCCTCGGGTTTCGGGTTTCGGGTTTTGGGTTTCGGGTTTCGGGTTCAGGGTTCAGGGTTTGGGTTTCTAACGAAACCCCAAACTCCCCAAGACTCGTAGGCAAATCCAGCTCTCCGACTCTGCCTGCTCCCCAACCCCACAAACTTTATTTGGTAGTTCCCAATAGGGTTTTCCTAGGAGCTCTAAATACCCAAAAACCCATAGATTGTTCCCAATAGGGTTTTCTTCGGAGCTCTAAATACCCCAAAACCCATAGGTGTTTTGGCATTTTCAATGGTTTTGGAGCTCTACATACCAGGCGGCGGAGTTCCAGGGCGACATGGACGGCGCCTACGCCAAGTTCGCTGAATGCCCCCAGAAGAGCCGCTAGGCGGTTGCTTGCAAGGGTTTAGGGGTTCAGATTTCCCCTAAACCCTAAACCCAAACTCCAAACTGCGTCTGAAACCCTAGAACGCCTCCTCCTAAAACCCCCTAAAGCCCTCCTGAGGCCCCCCCAAAGCCCCCTAAACCCTAAACCCCAAAGCCCAAACCCTAAACCCTAAACCCTAAAACCCTAAGCCTAGGCCTGGACCAGTCCAAGAGCTTCCTCACCGAGTTCAACACGAAGAGCAACGAGCACAAGACCTGCCGCAAGGCCCCCCGGGGGGGATCGACAGTTTTTTGGGGGGCTCCGTTCAGAGGAGTAAGGGTTTTAGGTTTAGGGTTTAGGGTTCAGGGTTCAGGCTTTAGGGTTTAAGGTTTTGGGTTTAGGGTTTAGGGCTTAAGGTTTAGGGTTAGGGTTTAGTATAGGGGTCGGAACAAGTACTACGGAACAATTACTAATAGATTTATGTGTATACTATAATAACCCCCAAAAGGCCTATTCTAATTATTCAGGCCACTATCTTAGTGGTCTTCAGTCCAATATTTTTAAGGATTGGGGCACATTGTTCAAGGTTTGATATGGTTTTGAAGGTGCATATCTTATCATGAGATGAGTCTTGATGTTGGTCCTTTAGTGGTAGAGGCTGTGAAATGCTACGGTAATTTTTGTAAAACATGATATGAAAAGTATCTAGACGAAAATGAAATCGTAAATTCAATGATTTCAATTGCATTTCTTGGTGGCATACCGAGAAACTTTAACTGAAGAAGCAACCATGATATGAACCAACGACCAACAATATGAATAGTTGAAAACCATCAAAGGCAACAGGACCGAGCTCCGGAAATGAGCCCTAAAGGATTTACCAGGATTCTCAAGCGAATGAGGTGTGACACGAAACCCCCAGGAAAAAACCGAATTAGGTAAGGCAGAAATCAAAGAGAATAAATGATACATGTGAAGAAAGCGAAGCAGAAGACGAGAAAATTGGAATGAACAAAGGTGCGGAAGTAAGAAGAAACAGATGAGGCAACCAGAACCCCAAACCCCGAGCCTTGACCTGAGAGTCCTTGCTTTCCCAATTCTCCACCCCTCAGCCCTCCCCTGCAAGGCTGCCCCCCCAAGCCCCCAGCGCACGCCCGGCTGTCTCCCCACAAAGCCAAAGACCTCACTCCTCATCCCCGGGCCCCAAAAGCGTCCTTCGGGTTACCAGCCCAAAAACCTCATTTCCTCATGGCCCGATGCCCCAAAGAGCCCGAACTCCCGGGCCCGGAGCTTTCAACACCGAAGCACGCACGTGCGTCTAGTATACATATATATATATATATTGCGTCTAGTATAGATATATATATATATATAGAGAGAGAGAGAGAGAGAGAGAGAGAGCAGTAGATCTACAGGGCCTCAGGGACAGGTTCAAGGCTCCCATGTCTTGCGAGGATGAGTCGGGCCTTGCGACCACCCACAGCCAGTGCGAGCAGACGAAGCAGACGGCGCTGGATGCCAAGAAGACGGAGTGCGCGGCGCAGGCGACGACGTTGTGCGTTCTGTCCGCCTCAAGTTGCTCAACTATCTGTCTGTACGGGCTTAGGCGCGTAGGCTTGATCACTACTACTTGCTTGCTTCAGAAG